TCTTTTTATCAACATGTGTTTCGACCTAAACTGTGGCCAACTATGGAGTGCCGTTGCTTGTCATCTTCTCAAAAGATCATCACTAAAACGAATGGGCAACAGCGAGGCCCAGAACAACTTTTAAAAGCATTCATAGGTTTATGGCAATTTTAACCCTAACCCTACTGAAAGCTGTACATAATATTTTTCTATACCTTTTCTGCAGGAAGAAACAAGATATTTTTAAATATCAATTCAGCATTATTAAAATGTGCCTAAATTAAACCCAAGCGACCCTTTTCTTAAATAACCCAATTACAACTCTAGTCTCTTGCAGCTTGGTCAGGACGAGTACTTTTAATCAGATGTTTGCAGATTTATATTTTTGGACTACGGGTCCCAGAACTCCTCAGGCAGCAATGTTTTGGCACCTTCTCCAAGCACCTGCAGTCCCCAGGAACAATTATTCTGCGGTTTGTGGTGAAATCCTTGCCTGGATTCTTATTTGTTTGTTGCTCTCAGTGTGTTCTTAAAACATCCTACGTATTGAGTTAGGCTGCTGTTCCATCTGGCCCAATGTTGACCCCGTTTGGCAGCAGCTCTGCAGGGGTTTAAAGCAGCATTTTTCCAGCCTTAGCTAGAGATGCCAAGGACTCAACCTAAGCAAGTGCTCTGCTACCAAGCTAGGATGAATAGGAAAAGGACATGTCTCTTTATACCTGCTGCATTTGAAATATTCACACGTGCGCACACACACCTACAGGCATATGTGTGGCAGTCAGGGGCGGTCATTAGCCTGACAATGTGGAGTGGCTAGAAGTCAGCAGAGGAGGAGACAGCAGTGTGATCAAAGGCTGGGTTCTGAAACTCCTGCCCCCTCTCTTTGCTTGACAATTGAGTCCTGAGAGTGGTACACAACTGGAAAAGACATACTCGAGCCACACACACACACACACAAATGCAAAAGGTTGGTAGGAAAGAGGGACCAGCGCTGTCTTTGTTTTCTACTTGGAAGAGTTAGAAGCAACATTAAAAAGAAAAGGGGGAGGCATTCCAAAGTGGGCATTTGCTAATCGCCACTTCATGGCTGTTCTACCATCTCAGTCATCTGCTGGCACAGATCAGTCCTGAGCTTACATCCAG